GAAGAAGTGTAAAAGCAGGGAATCAACAAAAATTTAATAGAGCATCCTGAAAGGACTGCACTTATTTGCTTGATTGAAATGAACAAGAAACCCATATGTACAGATGAGAAGAACGCAATATGAAAAAGAGAGTAAACCAGGAAACATGAATTAGAATTGTTTTCATTACTTCTCACTATATTGTGCAGCTGCACCTATTCGTCAGTCTCATCTCCAATACTCAGCTCATGTCATTCCATGTGGCTGTGTGAGAAATCAAATGGGAGCATTATCAGGAAATCCCTGAGTGTCTTGTGAGATGGCTTTGACAACTACAAGTAGTCTTAACTTGCATAGATTCACTTGTACAAAAAATTCTCATTTTTGAAATTAATGGAAAAGAAATTCACAAGTCAAGATTTCAATTAGAATGAAATTCAATTTAGACTATTATGAACAATGAAGGCCTAATAAAAATAGACTGAAATGGATGGCAATGACACAAGAAAGTGAAAACTTAAGACATTAGATTCTGCCGATTGAATCAAGGTCCTTTTTGTCAAGGGTGACTCTCCCCCCCCCTCCGAGGAATTAGGCCTGCACCCGCTCTTATAGTCTGCAGTAATCTCTGCCATCTCCTGAGATCTTGAGTCAAGGGATGCTCTTGGATCCTTTTCTCGGAGTCAACATAGGCATAATGGAGATGACAGTGTTTCCTTCAGCCAGTCACTTATTCTATCACATCATACTCTTGATGGTTGAGGCCCGCATTCACATAGGTGCCATGCCGCTATCCCACACCCCAAATTCACGATTGCATCAACTTGCAGTTTTCACTTGCCTTCTTCAGAAACTTTATACAAAGATTCCTAACAAAACACATTAATATTGACGGAATTCAACATATTAATTATGATCTTGCCTAATACTGACCTGAAATCCTTCACAAGAAGGGAGCAGAATGAGACAGACCTACAAAGAGGCTGGCTTATGTGCTGCAGAAGATGGAAACGAAGAGGGAATGGACTTCTTGCCACTCCAAAGGAACCCCAACATCTGAGATCCACCATTTCTTACTCTGTCACTTCTGTTCTGGTTGTAAGTGAAAAAAAATTGTATCATCAGGAACATTCTCAGGCATTTGCTCCCAATTCCTAAAAACATTTCCAAATAGGCTTCACAATGCTTACTATCATAGTAATTGCATTCGTGACTGAAGTCTGTCCTCTGGTTTGAAAAGGTGTCACATGTACAGCTACAAGGCAATCAGCTCATAAACCTGACATATTAGATGTGGGATTTGGGCAAGTCTTGCTTGCTCCCAAATTCACATCATGAGATATAAAATTGATGAAAATCAACCACACTCACTATTGGAGGCTCTCTGACCTGATAAAGAAGAATCCAGTTGAAGAAAAAGCTGGCACTGAGGACAGAGGCAAAGAAGAGCATGCCCATCCAGGGATCCATGAATCACCAAGATGAAAGAAAAGACAGCACAACTCCCAAAAATAGCTGCAAAGNCTCACATCCCCTGAAATGCCACATTCCAAGGCCTTCATTAAGTTTGTCCTAAAACTGTGGACCTGTGTTTCCAAATTTTCTGATATTGGTGAAAAGAATGTCATTTTTTGCATTCAAAACTAAAACCACAATTGCCTAGGACTGCACCCAAGGCTTACATAGGGAAACAGCTCTAGTCCTCAGTTCATTCCTTGGCACAACACAGCCCTAGTACCACAGTGAGTGCATTGTGACCCAGGAAATTACTCTAAGGGTCATGGCTCAAGGTTTAGGTTGGGATGTTTAGTGTTAGTCCATATGCATAGCCTGAATTGAGATCCTGAAAGAAACTCTTTGCACCCAAAGACACAACCAAAGCAAATAACCTTAGCTTCTGATCCTGGTGATAATACACTTTCTACCTCTGCCTTTTTCTTTTCCATATCAGAGTGTCACAAAGCATTGAAGGGTTCCTTTTGAATAGGTGTAAGAAGTGCAGAGATGTCTGATACTACAACTGGATTTCTCAAACTCCCAAATACAGGAAAATCAGGTATTAGCCCAACATCACTTACCAAACAGCAGCTGAATATGCAACTTTGTTTACAAATTCTGACTGCTATTGGGTTGGCCTAACAAGATTAAGAAAGTTTAATCATGCTGAGCAACACAAAATGGCACTCCTTGAAACCAGCAACATCTAGGATCACTGAATAAGATTAAGCTCCTCTATGCTTTCAATAACAGCCCCAGCTGTCTAGGATTGAGATACCCTTCTTACCATTGATTATTAAATGAACAAGAGCATTGGGCTTCCATGAAAATTTGAGTGAAATGGAAATACTTTGGATTTTCTCTTGCTTTTCATCAGACAGAAGCTCAATAATGCTACCATTTACAGAGAACCATCAATTGTCAAGTACTGGTTCCCTGAGTGTCAAGTTGAGAGTATGGAGACAAAAATGCATATGACCCCCACTTTTTATTTGCCACCACTTAAAATGTGGATGGTGTGCAGCTCGAACAGGGTGGCAGGAGAGGCCCAACCTCAAATTCTTTTTGGGACCCAATTCCCCCCCCCCCCCAAAAAAAAATAAATAAATAAATAAATAAATAAAAATAAAAATAAAAATAAAAAAGTAAATAAATTATTATAACTTTAAAACAACCATTAAGACATCAAATCCAGAGCAAAAATCTGTCAGAAACAATTGGATTCATTCTCGAAGCAAAACATGGAAATCCAATCCCAGACAGCTGATTCCAGCTCAAAGTCGCGATGGCGAGGCCATGGCCCCTGGCCCATTACTAAACGCATAGGCGCATCATGCTGCACCCTCCACGTTTCGCTCCACGCGGGATCGGAGGCAGGGCCACTTGGCTTGCATTGCGCATGCGCGAGTTCCCTTCCAGCATGCACGTGTTCCCCTCACGCTCGAGTAGAGAGCTGCTTGTTTGAGTAAACAAGTTATACAGTTGATGTAGACACGGCTGCCGTGGACGGGAAATTCACCTGACATATTCTGCATGATCATAATATTCTCTAAGCAATCTATGTGCGATTCTGTTGCGTAAAGTTATAATTATTCGCAAGGGGCGAATTTCGATACTTTTCAGCCCTGGTACACCTCTACTCTCCCAGCTTTCCGGTGAAGTTTCGGTATCCGCTCTGCTTTTCTGCACGTTTCATTCCGTATAAACCGCCAACGTGCGACTTCTTTGGAGCCGTGATACTCGTTTCGCGACGCTCCAAGCGGACCAGGACCCGTTGAGTTCTCACCAGTTTGGAAAACGGCCATTTCGGCTCTGCCATCGTCGAGAGAATCAGATTTGGAAGGAGACGAGGCGCATGGGCAGCGGCGAGCCACGTTGTCAGGCTCAGGTGAGACTGTCTCCGGTTTTTCGAGCGATTCTTTGCGACGTCGGCGTTGACTCCGCCGACATTCCCAGCTTTAAAAAGTTCGTTTAAAAAAATGCGTGAATCGCGTTGAAATTTCGTTCACAACCGTTAGAAAAGAAAACGTATTTCAGCTTCTTTCAATCGTTAATCGCTGCACGACCCCGTTTTTTTTTTGCACATCTCAAAACTTTCTGAGAGATCCGAAAGGCCTTAACAAATTTGTGGGTTTCAAACTCGGCCGCCTTTCGACGTTCTGCATGCTTCAGAAAGTCTCGATCCTTCGGGTCTGCGGTAGAAGTGGCTGCAATGGATGAGAAAGAATTGGCAACTCTGCAAATAAAGTGGAATCCTCCCAAATCCGATTTCTGTCACCCCCTTTCCGAATTATATGCAAAACTAAAGTACTACAGGCCGACGGTGCCCAATAAGGTCAAGGCGCAAAAAAGTGCCAAAAATATCCGATGGGGCCCTTTCGCATCCGATTAAACTTCTGATAATCTCATCCGATCCAATACGATTCCTTCGCGGGCAATCCCCTCGCCCTGGAAGGCGGGAGACGAGAGCCAGGAGCATGCCCGACACGGGATCCTCCGTGCTGGAATCCGGCAGAACGACCGATAAACTGAGGAGGAAGGGAAAACGGTAAATCCCTCATCCTCCATTTTGTATGGTTGTTTCTTGACGATCCGTGGAAGTTTCGCGAAGTTTCTGTAAACGAACGGTGCTGTAATGTGGAGGATATCTACAGTACAATTGCCATTCGTGCAGCAGTTTTCGAGTAATTACTGTGGTTTTTATGAATATCATCTGTAGTGAAAGTGAGAATCCAGATAATTCATGTCGGTAAGAATACTAAATATAACTTCAGTTCCTCAGATAGAAATCGGATTGCTCCAAAAAAAAAATAGGACACCCTTTGTGCATTCCGAAATATCATTCCGAAATATCGTGTCAAAGGTCACGGAGACGTGACCTTTGACTGCCCGTCAAAGGGCAGCCATGAGAGGGCAAATATAAGTTTCGTCGTCGTCGCAAATTCAGGGTTAGGCAGAAAAAAAGAAGAGTTTTTATCCCCCCAAAACATGTTTTTATTTATAATATTTTTGCTGTCAGAATTACATGTACATGGTGACATTCATAAAAAAGAGAGAGGTCGAATAATATTGCGGAAAAGACACACATAAATCTCCCCAAGTGATAGGAAAGTTGCAACACTGATTCCCAGAAGCGAATTTCGACCGATCCCCCCCCCCCCCCACACACACACACACCCACACACCCACACACACACACCCACACACAAACCCACACACACACACATACACACCCACACCCACACCCACACCCACACCCACACACACAATAACTTATTCGACTAACGCGAGTGATAAGCAGGAAAAACAATCAGCAGATGCCTCCTCGCTGTTGATAATAAGCCAGAGACCTCTTGGCCATGAGGATGGCTCCATGAAGCGTGTCGTGCCCTCCGAAAAACCCATCCCCGTGCACGAATCTGATTCCCGGCAGGCGTGAAATCTCTTCCAGCTCTGGGTATTCAAGACATCTCCATTCGCGGTGCAACGGGACCCTGCAAATTAGGTTAATTAGAGTGCAGGTTCTAAATTGTCCTTCGGGAGGCGATGAACAGCGCTTGCCTCGGGGTGGAGTTTCTTGGGCCGATGGGGAGCGCCCGGACCTTCCACATGCCTGTCGAGTCGGGGAATATGAGGAAACTCATGTTTTCTGGCATGATTCCCTGTCTTTCTAACTCGTAGAAGGAATCCTTGAAGGGGAAGTACTCCTTCACTTCGAACTTTCCGGCTGGTAGCGTCAGGATCCTCCCACTTTCATCCATCTGTGAGATCGACGGTGACGAACGGCAAGTTCTCTCGCAGAATGGCGGGGAAGAACTTACGAGAAATCGAGCGTCCAGGGCCTTGAGAAGCTGCAGTCGCGGTAGAAAAGCAGCCAGGGACTTCTTGGCCGTGTTGATGGCTCCTTCGCGTGTTTCGTGTTCGTGCACGAATATCGTCCCCGTCGGTCCTTCCGGATTTTCAACCTGTTCAGACTCGTGGAGCAAAGGCACCCTGAATGCAAGAGAAGTGGTGGATAATTCGGATTCTTTCGGTTTGCTCCTTGAGAGACATTTGAACCGCGCTTGCCTCAAAATGACTGAATCCGAGCTTAGACGAACAGCCTGAACCTTCCAAACGGCGGAATCGTCCTCCTCCTTGAAGATGACCAAAAACACCTCGTTTTTTGGAATGATTCCTTGCGCTTCCAAGTGAAAGAGATGCTTCTCCCATCCGGAGCATCCGGCTGATAGCACGAGAATGTTTCCACTCTCGTCCACCTATAAAATATTATTAAAGGGAATTTTCTGGTCTAACGTTATGGGATGCGGCGTCAATCTACCTTGAACCTTGCGTCCAGAGCCTTAAGGAGCAGCAGTCGCGGTTGGAAAGCGGCCAAAGACGTTTTCGCCATGCTGATTGCGCCGTCGCGTGTTTCGTGGTCTCCTAGGTGTCCACTCATGTGCACAAACTTGATCCCACGCAGGTCTGTTTTTTCTTCAAACTCTTGCTTTTGAAGCAAAGGCACCCTGCGTCAAGGAGGAGTTCAAGACAAGTCAGCAGCTATCGTTTATAGTCTTTATTTTTCCGAGGCCCATCGAACTGCACTTGCCGTGAAGTAGGTAAATCTGAACTGATGGGAACCGTTTGAACCTTCCACGAATAGTGAATTCTATTATCCTTGAAGATGACGAAGAGTATTTCATTCTTGGGTATGATTCCTTGTGCTTCGTAATGGAAGAGATGTATAATCCATTTGGACCATCCAGATGATAGAAACAGGATGTGGCCGCTCTCATCCACCTATAGAAAAGTCGCTGCAGGATAGGGCAAGGCCTCTTATTCATTTCATGCCCAGGGGTTTACATACACTAAACCTCGTCCCCAAAGCCTGTAGAAACTGTACTTTGGATTCAGACTCTTTCAGAGCCCTCTTGGCCATGCTGATAGCCCCTTCACGCGTCTCATGCTCTCCTATGTACCCATTCCGCCGCACGGATTTGACCCCAGACAGACCCGATTTCTCTTCCAGCTCTTGTCCCTTGAGCCCCCTCCACTCCTCCGGAAAGATGACCCTGCAGGCGAATGGAGGACAGCTCAGACGCTATCGACTCTCCTCCTTCACTTGCCTCCAGGGCCGTAAATACCCCATGGGGCAATACCCCTGTCCCGGGGCAGGGAGTTATGGACGCCCCCCCCCCTCCCTGGCGTTTTCCCTGACTTATGCCTGCCAGTCCTCCTAGAACTAGTACCTGGATATCCACGTCTAAGTTTGCACGCCCTCCCTTTAAGTGAATCTGAATGGCAAGGCCAAGTTGGCTTTTTTTACATTCAAGTATACGGAATAGTCATTCCGAAAGAGTATTCATTGACACGCTAACGAGTCGCCCTCTATAATTGGGGTTCGAAAAAAGCCACCTGGAAAAAAGACCCTCAGAATTGACAAAAGCTGAAAGAAAGTCACCCGAGATGAAAATGCATAAAAGCTACCCGGTTGGTTGCTTCGTAATTATTCATTTCCCTATATTTATACATATCAGATAATAAAAGACATTCACGTGGCGATGTTGAGACGCATTCACGCAGGGATGTGGCTCATAATTATCCATATTTTTAAAATGTTTTTGGGTGAATTTCATCAATTATTCAAGTAAAATATCACTGATTTTCATTTCCATTTAGAATAAAACGATGGAAGATGCAAAGCATCACTCAATTGGAAGCACTTCTTTAAATCTTTAAAAATTTTATTTTCCCACTTTCATTATGAAGGGGAGAAGGACTCCGTTCAGCTATGAACATGGACTTATCTCAATGCAATGCTTGAGCAGACTTCGTTGAGGAGGGGAGCTAATCCTGATCCTCTCCACTCCCTGGAAAAAGGTGTGAAAGTGGATAGGAGGGAGATAAAATTAAGAAACCTTACATGACCCCAGAGCAATTGTTATTTGAGAACAAATGCCAAGAAGCGTTCAGAGGGTGGAATCACCTCATCCTGCAACACGGCCACGATCAAAATATTTCCTGCGGGGCCATACTGTTCATTTTTAAGGAATGGGCTGAAGTTGGACTTGTTTTGTTTTTCAGAACATTTCAGTGAAGTTGATCATATTACATGACATCAATATCACTCAATGTCCCAAAAATGAATGAGTCTTTAATCTGACCCGAACATAACGGGATGACAGTTTTCTGCCTTTGCCAAATCTCGGATCTTATTTCCGGGTGGCTTTTTCCCTAAACCCCTATAATTATAGCACGGCTTTTTTTGCTTTGCGAAACGCAAAGATGTCAATGAAATTATCAAAATCCACTTTCTTTGCTGCTTGATTTTATTTTCACTGCATAACACTTTTTTTTTCTGTGCCTCATTCGTCTTTCGCTTGCTTCGCCCCCTCCCTTCTCGGCGCCCCCTTCCTTAAGTGGCGCCCGGGGCAGGTGCCCCCCCTTGGCCCCCCCTTGGCCCCCCCCCCCCTTATTTACGGCCCTGCTTGCCTGGAAATGGATGGATCCGAGGCGAAGGGAACTCCTTGGACCATCCACGTCTCGAAAGTTTCCTCTTCCGAGGGTGTTTCTTGACAGTCTAATTCGGGCCTTGAGCGCTTGTAGATGACGAAGAAAACCTGATATTTGGGTATGGCTCCTTCATCTTCGAGGTGGAAGAGGTGTTTCTTCCATGGGAAGCCTCCATCCGGTAATTCCAGGATCATTCCGCTCTCATCCACCTGAAAGACTCATTGATGCAAGCTTATTAATTATACATTATACATTAAGCCTTATACATTAAGCAACGAGGCATGCGATTTGCTTACCTGGAATCTTTCTCCCACTGCATTAATAAGAAGCTCCAGGGCAGGCCACCAGACTTCCCCATAGAATCTTATGCGGTCAAGGAATTCTCGCCCTGTCATCTGCATTGCCTCGGAGAATATTTCGTCCGAATTTTTGCTTTTGTCATTCCATACTGGATTGAGGCCTCTGACCCGGAAGGGGAGACTTGTTCTGATTCGGTACCTGAAACACAAATCTAAATCTCAAAACAGTTTAGTAAGTGACAGACAGCCGATCGTCAGGGGACATACTTGAGATGACGCTGGTGACAGACTTCGATCCCATTGTCGAAGGCATCAATCTCCTCGACGAAGTTTTCATAGACCTTGTCGAAGACGGCTTCTACCTTGGGATCCTCCACAGGGCAATTGAGAACGCAGCTGATGATCTCTTCCCCGTAGTGCTTGAACAGCAGCCCTGCGCTGCTCAAATGTGTCTTCCACTTCTTCCCTGACCGCGGCGTGCTCAACCTCGCCGTGAGGAACCTATGCAGTCAAAGAGTATTTCCTTCCATTTCATTGCAGGAAAGCACCGGGATCGAACAATGTTTGGCTTCTGTCCCCTTATGGAAGTACCAAATATTGTCGTGTACACAGGATGTATTTGGATATATTCGACTATTTATGCACCAAAACTTGGCTGAAATAAATTCAGAGACGTTATATGGCTAAAGCACGATATGGACATACACTGCATTGCCCAAACTTTTGGGACAAACGACGATATGACGAGCAACTATCGCTCCATGTTCAAACTCAGTCGGCTCCAATCTACGCGCTTTATTGGCAAACACCGATTGCAACAGATTTGCAAACAACCGTTATATATTTTTGGACTACAGTAATGCCCTCTACTGCATGACCTCTGGGACAATCTGTCATCGGCGGAGGGAGGCTTGTTCCAATAGTTTTGGCAATACTTGTATAGTGTATATGGACATACGAAGGTATTTCAATTAGTAACGACATGGAGCATCATAATGCGAGTAATATATTTCTCTCGGTCATGATATTGCACTTTCATTTCAACACAATCCTCCCGTACAGAAATGCATTTGTTCCACTTCTCTACGAGCTTTCACATATCCGCGACGCAGAACTCTTTGGGTTGATGCCGTAGCCGCGATGGGACGGGTCTCTTTCACAGCTTGATTACCATTCAAGTGATTGCCTCGTAATGCCTCTTTAAGTGGTTCAAAAAGGTGTTGATCGGACTGGGGCTACAGTGGTCTGTGGACTGTGGTCAGTTACTGAATGGGCTGTTCGAGGTGGAGCATTATCCTGTTGCCCATCTCCTTTTTTTCGGACGTTTCTCCCTCTTCAATACATTTCTACGGCTCGTGCCGTTGTCTCCATGCTATTGATATTCTTTGGTATATTTTTAGTTGCTGTCATCTTTAAACCATAGTTAGTGCTGTTCTTTGTTGGACGTATGTGGATTCTCTAAACTTTCAAAATGCACAGGTACCAATTGCACTTTCTGCAAAAGAAGACGATCATAATAAAAATATTAGAGACAGAATTAATTGAAGTGTCTTTACTTACTGAAACACCCTCGTATACGAGGTATGTGTCCCATATGTTTTATGTAAAGAGCCCATGTATGGCCATATTTGATATCATTTATTAATTTTTATTTGGAACTCCCATTACGAGTTTTCAACACCGATGGTGTACTTACTCTTGATGATGATCGTATCGCCGAGTGGCATGGTCGTACGTCCCGCCTACGTCAACAAGAACGTCGCATGTGGAAAGCACGGTTTCATCTCTTGATCTGCGTGGAGTTCACAGAGAATTTGCATGCAGCTTGCAAGTATGTTAGGACCTTAATTGATATTCATGCATTTGAAACTTCAGTATTTTTTATTATTCCTGTTGGCAACCTTTGCCGCCGAGGAAAAGTTAAAGAATGAAGAAAATTGTGCCTATGAATTTTATCCTGAGTCTCAGGCAATAAAAAAAAAAGGTTTTTCTGAGCGTCATTGAGGCAAACGAGTCAGAATCATCCTTGAACCGGTTAACCTCGGGAGGAATCGATTGGGAAGTATTTAAAAAAAATCCCTGCCTCACCTCACGATCTCCGCATCACGGTATTGAGGAAGCTGCTTCAGCATAAAGCACGCCAGCGCCGCGCCGCAGGAGACGGTCCCATCGTGCGTTCCGATCCTCGCTCTTGACCGGAGAGTTTCTTCCATTATTCTAAACATAGTGGATATCAAAGAGAGAGACTGAATTAAACATTTTCGAAAATACAAAAATGCCAAAATATGAATTCTTCCATTTTTTACCAAGCACTGGGAAAACTTAGTAGCCACACGATAAGGACGAGTAATTATTTATCTCATTAATTTGTTCATTAGTTAATAATTATTAATTATTAGTCTCACGTTCTGCAATCGAGGGCTACCATTTCTTGCCCCGAATCTCATCTTCGGTTTATTATTACAGGCTGACGATGAAGGAACTTTATATGGTTGCCTTATTTTGCAATCGGTATTTACTAATTAATATATATGGTTGCCTTTTCATCAGGTATTTCTTTAATTCATTTTTAAATATTTTTCCCCTTATACATTATTCTTATATTCTCTTATGAAATAATATTTTATATTATTTCATGTTTGAAAACTTGAGCGCTAAGAAATTTGCATTATTTTAGCCTTGCGCTTTCACTTAGGTTCTTTCGAATACATATGAATGATATAAATGGATGAAATTAATAAGATGTGAGTGAAAATTGTGAATCTGCGAAGATCTGTTCGTTCCCTGTTTGAGCGGTTCTTGAACACCCCCGAAAAGAGTCGATTCATGTTTAAATCAATCAATGAAAATTAACTGAATTAACTAACATCTGCCATCTTGCATGAGTACAATGACAGTGGGGTAAGATTGTGATATAAAACTATTGACATAATAATTATCTATCGTTTCATATGTACATATAATTATTTCATCCTGAATCTAGCACTAAGAGGACTCTTTGCTTTAGCAATGAGACTTGATGAAGGCTGAGTAACGATAGTGATAATTAATTGATGAGAATTGACCGATTCTATAGTTGGTAATACTGTGTCTCTCTTTTCACCAGTAAGAGACATTTTTGCTTTTAAAATTGCCGACACACACGCCACCGACATCAACCCTATATCACAAAAACCAGAGACCCCCCCGGCCCCACAAACACTCCATCACTGAGTTCCAAATGCAACAGAGAGAAGAAACGACCCGGAAACGAAAAGGCAGGGGACGGTTTGCCGTCACTCGGCATGCCGGCCGAACTCCAAGCAAATCAATGGTTACTAGGATTTTTCTTCAACTAACGAAGGGTGCATGGCAGGCAGGAATAAACTGTTACGTCTTTTCCCCTCATTGATCTTTAAATACAAACGATAAGACCATTCGAAACCACCACCGGTACGGCGAATAATTTATATTCTGCTTGTCTGCTTTAGTCATTTGGCCAGCTTAGTTTTCCCCTGCTTTTGACAGTCATAATTCTCGAAGAATGAAACAAACGATAAGACCATTCGAAACCACCACCGGTACGGCGAATAATTTATATTCTGCTTGTCTGCTTTAGTCATTTGGCCAGCTTAGTTTTCCCCTGCTTTTGACAGTCATAATTCTCGAAGAATGAAGCGAAAGTAGCAAATCGGTGATTCGAGGCATGATGGACAATATTCGAGGCAATGTTCGAACTTGGCGCTTTCCTGCAATGAATATCGAAGGAAATACTTTCATGCAGCAGAGGTCCTTCACGACAATGTTGAGTACGTTGATGATGATGCGCTTGAGCGGGGCTTTGCTGCTGTTCAGTCACTACGGGGAGGAGATCAGCTGCGTCCTCGATTGCCCTGTAGAGGATCCTGAAGAGGAGGCGGTCTTCAACAAGGTCGACGAATGCTTTGCCGAGGAGCATGATGCCTTCCTCAATGGGATTGGGATCTGTGACCAGCGTCATCTCAAGTAGGTCCCTGCTGATTGGCAGCCTGGCACTAACTGAACTGTTTTGAGATTTAGATTTGTGTTTTAGGTACCGAATCAGAACATATCTCCCCTACAGGAGAAGATTGCCTCAATTCAGCATGGAAAGACATAGACAAAAATACAGACGAAATATTTTCTGAGGCAATGCAGATGACAGGACGAGAATTCCTTGATCCCATCCAGTTTTATGGAGAAATTTGGTGACCTGCCCTGGAACTCCTTCCCAATGCAGTGGAGAAAAAAAGTTCTAGGTAAGCAAATCGCATGCCACGAAATTTACTTGGTCAGGGAATCGTCTTACATCAATGAGTCTTACAGATGGAGCAAGCACCAAGGCCTGTATGAAGCCATCAAGAAACTCCTAGGAAGAGGATAGAGTTCAGGGAGTTCCCTTCAGCTCGGATTAATCCACCTCGAGGGAAGTGAAGAAGGAAGGAGGAAAGACGACCGTGTCTGAGCTGTCCTCCATTTGCCTGCAGGGTCTTCTTCCCGGAAGGGTGGAAGGGAGCTCAAGGGGCGAGAGCTGGAGGAGAAATCGGGTCTGTCTGGGGTCAGACTCGTGCGGCGAATTGGATACCTCGGAGAGCATGGGACGCGTGACAGGGCTGTCATCACAGCCAAGAGGGCTCTGAACGAGTCTCAAGCCTAAGTACAGCTTATACGGGCAGTGGGGACAGGGTTTAATGTACAGGGTGTTTCTGTGGAAAGCCCGGATTTGTTTTCCGAATAACTTTCTTTTGTACAACACCGTTTCAGTTCGTTGAGGTTTCATTCGAAAAATCAGAGTTTCCCCTTTTTATCCGCACTTAAAACCTAACCGATTGATGCAGTGAACGGTAGAAAGGTCTGTTGACGTGCTCACGCTCATTTCGTTATGCGCCTCAGGGACGCAGCGCACTTGACTTTTGGTTTACTTTCGTTGCTGGTTTGTGGCTTAATTCCTGGAGAACATGCCCTATCTTGCAGCGACTCTTACAGGTGGAAGAGGGCGTAAGTATCCAATTTCTATTACCTGAACGGTCCAGATGGATTATCACTTCCATTTCAAAGCAAATGTCGGATGTCAGAGGGACGTGCGGTTTTAAACCTTTCAGACGTTAAGGGATGAGATTCTCAAGCTGGAATCGAGCAGAAACTCTCCAGTCAAGTTGGATGTCAATTCATTTGAAATCGTTCTGCAAACGACGCGCACGTCCCATGCAACTTACGAAAAATTTTCTCGCCATTCTTATGGGAAAACCTGGCTCTTCCCAACTCTCATCGACGACCGAAACCTCATTAGCCTCTTGTGAGGGACCTCTAGAGAGGATCAGGGTTCGGTCTCCCTTCAAACGCTTGAAAATAAATTAAATTCTTGGATTCATTTGCTCTTCACTCCCTGTTTGGATAGGTT